GCCAAAAATATAGTCTTAATAAATGTCTCATGTGCATGTAAAACTAAGACATCCCTCGGTTTTAACCATCCACGGACATGCAATTATAATTTAGTTACTTTGATGTGATTTGGAAGAGCTAGAAGTTGCTTCTTGAATCATGTCCATTTGATGTCTTGAAGTCCGCAAAAGCAGGCTTTGTATCCTATTCCCTCAGCATTTTGCTTTGCCCCAAATGGACATGCAGCAGACACTGGTTGAATGATTTGGGTGAATGAATGACATTTAGAAGTTGTTGTTTTCTTGTTTTTGATTCAGAAGATATCCTTCTTAGGTTATGTGACATGACCAATACCTTTGTGCTTTTGTATCTCTACGGGATTTCATACAGAGTCTGGTGCCCTGTTGCTGCTCAGTTAGCATTGATGATGTTGTATTGAACCAAAGAGATACCTGTGAAGTGGTAGGAATTTAAAGCCATCTTGAAGTAATTGACAGGCTGCTCTGACCAAGGATGGAGAGGTTGTCCTGTCATAAAGCCCCTAAGACATGATGTCACACACAGGCAGCACTCTCCCTGCAAAAGGAGGGACCTGTGCACTTGATTCCCAGACATAGCTGAGCTCCAGTGCTCTTCTCAGGCTTGGTCCTGGAGCCTGAGAAGAGCTGGGTAGGCTACCCAGACACTGATGTGGTCAGAGGATTCTCTAAAGGTCACTAGACAGCATCAAAGTTGTTGGATTTGGTAAGCAGACTGCCCTCAGTGAACTATATCTCAGCAAATGAAATTGTCTTTATTATGCCTGGCCTTATCTTTTGTACACCCCTTCCTACTTGCCATGCCTCTTCTGCTTCTTTCTCCTCTCTCTTAGGACTCATTATTTCTCCTTTCCTCCTCTAAGCCTCCTTCAGAAAGAGCCTAATAAATTCATTCATACCCAAGTTATAAATGACTAACAAAGCTTATTGTTGAATACATTGCTAGCATTATTCTCAGTAAATGAAGTAGCTTTGCTTTAAAACCGTGACTAGTGTTTTATCCAAAAGGAATGAGCCATAGAGCCTTGTAAATCGTCATTCATAGTCAGTGATCTCAGGCCTGAGGCCAATTGCTAGGGGTTTAACAATGGCAGATTACATTATGGTCCTTGGGAGTGCCCCCTTGTTGGAGGACAGTACAATGCCCAAGAGCACTGAAGTGGGTGGGCTACCCACTTGACTCAGGTAGTCAGGAAAGCCTCTTGCAAGCAGTGGGAGAAGTGCATTTTGGCAGAGAAAGGCACATACGAAGGCTCAGAACTGAGAGCATCTGAAGTGGAAGTTCAGAGTCTGTTGTTCTCAGCCTTTGAGGCAGTGGGTTGGATAAGCAGCCTAGGGGAAGCTTACTGCGAATAGAGGAGGGCCCAAAAAGACTGGAGCAAACCCAACACTTAGGCCAGGCAGAGGGAGAAGGGGAGCGGGATGCAGGAAGAAAACCAGAGCATAAGAAATTGAACAGCCAAGAGAGAAGGTGACTCCAGGAGGAGGAAGGCTCTGTAGCAAGCAGCACAGACAAATGAGCCTAGGCCTGAGAAAGGGTGCACTGGATTTGGTGACTAGGGTATATTGGTGACTTGGTGACAGGGGTTTCAGGGACTTATGAGGCCAGAAGCAGACTGAAGTGGGTTGTGGAGTGAAGGAGAGATGGAGAGTGACAAAGACATTCACTGCAGACAGCTCTTGCAAGGAGAGTAGTATATAAGATAGGGACAGATAGGACAGATAGGACAGAACTGAGGAAGGTATTCAGGTTCAAGAGGAAGTCCTTCATTTTGTCGTGGAAGATAGAAGTGTGTGTTTCAGTGCTAATGGGAAGAAGCTAGAAAGAGTAAAGAGAATATGCGGTGAGAGAGGGGATCCCTAAAATGCTCAGGTTGTGAGAAGACTGGATGGAATGGAGTACAGAGGGGCGGGCAGTTTTCTTCTACTGAAGAGGAAATGACCTGTGGGAAGCCTATGGACAGATGGGTTTGATGACAGAAAGTCGAGGAGACTGCCATGTGATGGTGCTCACATTCTCTGCTAAGCAGGGCAAGAAGAAGGCAGAGACGATAGGGTTGCAGATTTAAAGAGAGAATCTGAAATACTCTGTGGAGAATGGGGAGCTGATTTAGGAAGTGGAGGCTAGCCAGCTGTGCTGGGTCCCTCTCTCACTGGAGACCTTGAATGACATCAGTCTGTATGGAATTTTGACATGAATGGTGAGATTTGAGACAAAAAAAGCATTTTGAAGAAGCTAGGAAATCCTTCTCTTTCCACTGCCTAAAATTATTTTGAATGCTGCATGAACTAGGAAACCTTAAAAGTGCTGGTAGTTTTTAACCAACTCTATTTTACTATTAAATGATCAGCCACTTAACCTGCAGACATTTTTATGCCCAATGTTCACTAGAGCCTGTGCCTTTTTCCTCATTCTTTCTCAATTCTCTTTTTCCCCCCCCCGAACCCCCCCACCCCCCCCACCCCCCCCCCCCCCCCCCCCCCCCCCCCCCCCCCCCCCCCCCCCCCCCCCCCCCCCCCCCCCCCCCCCCCCCTCCCCCCCCCCCCCCCCCCCCCCCCCCCCCCCCCCCCCCCCCCCCCCCCCCCCCCCCCCCCCCCCCCCCCCCCCCCCCCCCCCCCCCCCCCCCCCCCCCCCCCCCCCCCCCCCCCCCCACCCCCCCCCCCCCCCCCCCCCCCAATTCTGATTTTTGCTGCCTTCCCAGCTCTGAGGGTACTGAAGACCAAGCTTTATTTTGAGGTCTCTGAAAGTGGGAGAAAGTCCAGAGAATTTGTCCAAGCTCCGCTGAGTTTGGTCTGCAGCTGTGATGTGCAGGCCATGCCCTGGCCGAGTCCTGTGGGTGGAGGTTCTTGCCTTCCCCATCCCAGCCACCAAAGGTGAGGAGGCACAAGGATCTTAGGCCGCATGTTGATATATGACTGTTTCCTCTTTTCTTCCAGAACTGAAATGATATTGGTCTATTTCTTCGCAGAGAAGAAGGGTAAAAGTTTAAGTGGGCTGTTACCGTTGCTCCACTGACTGAAGAGGGCGCATCCCTACTTGGGGCCTTAGAAGGAAAAGAGAAAATTGGGTCTCTATTACACATTCTCCTGAATTATTGAGGTCTCTCTGGGGAGTTGGGGGCCAGGGGAAGGAGAAGTGTTTAGAGCAGACAGGGTGGATGGCCAGGTCCTAGAAGGTGGGGCATGCCTCGTGTGTGTTTGGCTGTGGTGTGTGCATGTAATACGTGTGCCTGTGGGTAACGTGTGCATGTGTGTGAATGTGTAAGCAAGGAGCACCATCAGGTTTGTGCAAGATTGTGCAGTTTGCCCCAGAGAAGGAGGTCCTAAAGAGGAGGCAGGGCCATGGGAATTATTAGTTTCAATCTGGTTGTGGGTCTATCCAAATAGGGAGGGATGTTGGGGGCGCTCTGGGGAAAAAAGCTAATCCAGCACAAAGTGAGCAACTATTACTGCCCAGCCAAGGTCAGGGGTCTGCCCTGTACCTTTGCTTGGGCTTGCCCTCTCAGCAGGATGGACCCACATACAGCAGTTACAGGAAGGAAAGTAGAAGGGAGGTTGTCAGAAGTTCCTTGTGTGCTCCAGGCTGCAGGTCTGGTTTCCAAGGAATAGGTAGAAGCAAGGAATCATGACTGTCAGTCAGCAGAAGCCAGCCCAAAGACTGTGCAGCTGAGATTTGTTCATCCATGAAAGCTGCCTGGACACGCCCTGTTGGAATAGGATGTAAGGGCCTGGAAGGGAGAGGAAAGCAGTTCCCACTGGCAAGGGCCATCACAGCTCATCAGTGTTTTCTCCAGACCTCTACAAGTCCCTGTACATAGTACACTGTCCTCATTCTTGCAGTAAAGGACCTAGGTGCTGGGGACAGTTGTAGATGATGGCAGAACCTGGGAAACTTGACTCCCATGCCCACCTCTAGCTGCCCGCCAGGGCTCCCACAGGCCCCTCCCAAGGCTGCCGTGTATCTGGCTCCCATAAATCCCTATAATGGACTGCTAAAGGCCAAGGCTGCCCTTTGTTCCTTTCTTTCCTCTGCACTCTCATAGCAAAACTGGGATCTGAACCCATGTCTAACACTGAAAGTCCATTCTGCTGACTCTCCCGCTAACAACAAACCAACCATAACCCAAAACCTAATTAATACTCTGCAACAGTAATCTTTAGGGGTTTTTGCTTGCACACCTTTGGAAAAATTAGACATCCTTTCAACACATGTTAAGTCAGTTCCTACTATCTTTTTGTTTTTGAGTCAGGGTTTCGATATATAGGCTATAGCTCAGACTGGCCTCAAACTCAGAATCCTCTGCCTCAGCCTTCTGAGTGCTGGAACAGTAAGTATGCACCACCATGCCCAACGTGCCTTTATTTTCTACCACAAGTTTAAATAGTCAGCCTGCTTTCCTTCCTTCCCTCCTTTTCTTTCTTTTGCAGTACTGGGGCTTGAACTCATGTCCTACACCCTGAGCCACTCCACCAGCCCTGTGTGTGTGTGTGTGTGTGTGTGTTAGGTATTTTCGAGATAGGGTGTTACAAACTATTTGCGGGGCTGGCTTCAAACTGCAGTCCTCCTGATCAGCTAGGATTACAGGCGTGAGCCACCAGTGCCCAGCTTCTTTCTGAAGGGGCTGAGGTTTGAACTGAGGCTTGAGCCACACCCTTAGTCCATTTTGCTCTGGTTATTTGGAGATGGGGTCTCATGAACTATTTGCCTGGGCTGGCCTCAAACTGTGATCCTCCCAATCTCAGCCTCTCTCAAGTAGCTAGGATTACAGGTGTGAGTCACTGACTCCTGGCTAAAAGAATATGATTTCTGATGTGTTGTAAATGACATGAGGCATGGCTTGCCTAGCAGGCTTGAGGCCTTGGAAGTTCTCAGTACTGAGGGAAAAAATACATTTAAAGTTTTAACTAGTCTTAAAAAAAAGTTTTGACTATTCTTTCTCATAAAACCTGCAGGAATGGCATACTATTATTTCCAGAAGTCTGTGGGGATATAATCTGCAACTATGAGCTTGCTGGGGAATCAACACAGGTAGGGTCGTCTGGCTTTTGGGGCCTGGAGGCTGGGATGTCTCACTTGAGCTTCAATAGGTGTAATGCTCCTTCACTCCACATAGATATGTCATCCACCTCTGTGTATCGAGATAATGTGTGAACATGAGGGCTCTGAAGAAACTCCCTGTGTCCCTAGCACAATGTCAAAGCAGAGCCTTTCTTCCTCCCTCCATGGTAGTGTTGCAGACAAAGGTAAAGGAACAAATGATCCCTCCACTCCCAGGACATGAGTGGTTCTGGACAAATGTGGTCCAACACTTCGAGTGAATGGAGGTAGTGTTGACCAGAACACCTGCCAGGGGTTGCAGAGCCGGCTTGTCAGCTCAGGCCTAAGAACCCCTGGCAGAAACTCCTATTCCCAGCCCTGGCTGAGAGCACAGATGAATGCTTAGGTACCAGTGAGAGACATACTGGGGAGTAGTGCTGCCAGTCTCTCTAACTTTTTAGCTGGGAATGACCTTGAACTGTGTGATCTTCCCAATCTTCACCTCCCAAGTAGCTAGGATTATAGGCGTGAGATACAGTTCCCCACCTAATTTTTGCATTTTTGTTCTTTTTTAAAAATTTATTTTTGGCAGTACTGGAGCTTTAACTCAGGGCCTTCACCTTGAGCCACTCCACCAGCCCTTTTTTGTGAAGGGTTTTTCAAGATTGAGTCTCGAACTATCTGCCTGGGCTGGCTTTGAACCTCGATCCTCCTGATCTCTGCCTCTTGAGTAGCTAGGATTATAGGCATGAGCCACCGGCACCTGGCTGTTCTTTGCTTTTTTGAGATGGTCTTCACTGTGTAACCCAGATAGTTCTCAAACTCACAATGCTACTAATTCTGCCTCCCAAGAGCTGGAATTATAGGCATACTCTTCCACATCTGGCCTTTTTTGCTGAGTTTTATATCATTTGGTTTGTCTTCTTGGCACCCTCCCACCACTGTGGCTTTTTTAAAATTCATTTTCTTTTCAATTAAGGTATAATTTGTACAGAGTAAAATTTATCCTTTTATTGTACAGTTCTGTGAGCTTTTTTTTTTTTAGATCTGTGAGTTTTAATAAATGTATACAGGTATGTAATCACCAGGATCAAGATACAAAACAGTTCTATGGCTTCAGAAAATTCCCCTATTCACTTGTAGTCAACCCTTCCCAACTCCCAGTCCCTGGCAACCAATGAACCCTTTTTCTTCCTTTGGTTTTGCCTTAGCAAGGTTGTCACAGAAAAGGAGACATAGTATATCGCCTTTTGAGTCTGGTTTCTTTCGTTCAGCTCAATGCATGTGAGACTCACCCGATTGTGTGAATCAGTAGTTCTTTCACTGTTGAGTGGTAGTCCACTGTATGGATGTGGCAACTGGCTTATCCATTCCCCAAGACGTGGGTTATTATAAATGCAAGTATAAACATTCGTGTGCAAGTTTCGTATGGCATGTTTTTTTCATTTGAATAACTGGCAGTGGAGTTTCTGTGTCATGTGAATATGAATTTCGTTCTGTATGAAACTCAGATTTTTCTTAAGTGGTTCTGTTATTTTGCAGTCTCACCAACTATGAATGAGAAGTTCCAGTTGTTACACATCCTCTAATTTTCAAAGATGCATATCGATTTTATTAGATTAATATTGAGGGTTTATATGCTTAAAAGTATGTAAACAGTAGTCTTGCAAGATACTATGATCACTCTTCCTTGTGTGGAACTTTGCTTTTCTCTCTTCTTTTTAAATTCTATACTTTTCTCTGTCCCTATAGTTAATTCATCTAAGCTCTCTGCCCCAAATAGAACTATCCTTGTAGTACATTTAAGTGAACCAGCTGACTTTTCAAAATGATCACTTTCATAGAGACATCTGTAGCTCGCCACCTCCCTGCTTCCCTCTGGGCAGGGCACTCTTGAGACCCTCTGCTCAGCTGTCTTCCTGTTCTGCTGGATTGCATGTTATACTTGTCTTGATCACTTGCTTATTTTGGTAGAATGCCACCTCTCCACTTGCTTTCTGGGGAGTAGTATTGAGACATTACTTCTCTGAAAAAGGTCTTAGTCCTACTCTCCTAATCTTCTAGCTAAGTATAAATTCAAGATGCGAAATATTTTCTTTCACATTTTGAAGACCCTCATTGTCTTCTAGCTTCAAAGGCTGGTGTTGAGAAATCTGTTAAAAGTCGAATCCCTAAAACTGAGGTTTCAGTTTCTTCTATTTTTAGTGTTCTGAAATTTATTGATGACAAAGTCTAGAGCAGTGGGCCTCCTTTATCCATCGTCCTGACATGTGATTCTTTCTCTTCTGGAAACTTATGTCTTTCATCTCTGGGAAATTATCTTCATCAAAATGGAACTTGTGTGTTTGGCATCTCTCCTGCCACCCAATCTGTTCCCTTTCAGAAGCATCTGTGACTTAGTGGTTGGCACTCCTCACTTCTCTTTCTGAAAAATATCTCTTCAACTCTGTTTTCTGTACAGGTTGGATTTTTTACTCTCATTATCTTACTTTTTTTTCCAAGATTAGTGTGGTGGTGGTTGTTTGAACATTTTTTTAGAGCATTCTATTCTTGTTTCATGAATGTTACCTTTTTGTTGTTGTTTTCGGTAGTGCTGGGGTTTGAACTCAGGGTCTTGTGCTCTACCACTTGAGCCATGTTCCCAACTCTTTTTGCTTTAGTTGTTTTTTCAATAGGGTCATGCGGTTTTGCCCAGGACCATGATTCTCCTATTTATATTGCCTGTGTAGCTGGAATAACACGTGCATGCCACTATGTCCAACTATAATGGCTGAGATGGGGTCTTGCTAATTTTTTGTCTGGGATGGTCTTGAACTTCTGCCTCCTGAGTAGCTGGAATTATAGGTATGAACCACAATACCTGGCCATGAATTCTAACTTTTATCTTTCAAAAGACTTCAGTTACAACTGGGGGCATGGCTCAAGCAGCACAACATGAGGACCTGAGTTCAATCCCCCAGTATTGGGGAAAAACAAACAACAACAACGAGACCTCAGCTTTTTTTTTTTTTTTTAATGGGACTGAGGTTGGAACTTGCTAGGCAGGCACTGTACTACTTGATCACACCTCCAGCCTCAATTAGCTTTTTAAAATAGGTTTTCCTAATAATACCGGTAGTTTTTCAGTGCCTGCTTTTAAAGGCATTGACAGTAGATCTCACCTCAGCCTTCTCTTTCCTTGTTATGCAGCCCATTGCGAAGACCTTAAGGCCAGTGTGGGGACTGATGGATAAGTGCTACCCTGTGACCACTCAGGTAGGTAAGGGCTGGGGAGGAGAAGTGAGGTTACTGTCCTGGTTACTCTTGGCAGGCACAGCAAGGAGAACTGCACCTGGAAAGGATGGGCAGTGACTCATAGATATGTGTAACCTCTTCTGTCTCCTACAGAGAAGAAAACTCAAGAGTGGGAAGAAGCAAGTCTCCAGGCTAAGAAAGACTCCCCTGGAAAGGCCGGCCATGGCTCCCTTCCTGAGAGAATGCGATTGGACTCAGGGATACCCAGCTCATGGAGCAAGCTCCAGGAGTAATCATGGCCCCTGTTGGGGGGAAACTTGCCAATTTACCAAAAATTGCTCAGCCAAAAAGGGGCCATCTCAGGAAAAACAAAGGCTAGAACACCCTCAAATGTGCACACAGGAGGAGGGATGAGGTTTCTGAGGGCCTTGCTGTGTATGATTTTTCCTCTTCACCCTCCCTGCAGGTCGTGGCCTCCAGGGACATGGGAGGACAGAGTGACGCTGCCTCAAACGAGGACACTGACATCTTGTCTCAGGAGGAAGGGCAGGTGAGGTCCCCCTGGGAGGATGTAACCAACTCCATTCTTACTGAGGAGGAGGTGGCAGGGACCCCATGCTGGGAGGTAAAGGAAGGAGTGGGGCCTCAACTGGAACATCCCCAGCATAGATTTTCCTGAGGCACCATGGACCACTGCAGAGTAGGGGGCAATGGGACAAGGAGGCAGTGGTGGTGAGGGCTGGCTCAACCTTAAAACCATAAGGCTAAGCTGCCATCCCAGTGAAGCAAGGCACTCTGTCAGTGGAGCTGAGAGTCAGCAGGTCTGGTGTGAGTAGGGAGTGGGTCTAAATCCCAGCCTCACCTGAGCAAGTGGAAGGCCTCTGTTTCCCCATCTGCTCCATTTCATTGCTGTGCCCTCCTTCAATCCCAGGAAAAGAAAAAGCTCAAACGGGACTATTGCAGGACTGCCTTCCTAAGATGCAAATCTTAGAGACTGGTTAGGGACACAGGGCATCCCAACCAAACCTCCTTGGCCTTGGAAGAAGTCGATAAAAAGGTAGCCAGATGCTTTGACCTCCTGAATGAGCCTCCCCTGCCCTCCTGCCTCCTCCCTGGGTAGGCAGAAACATCAGATGGCTACATATCTACCTTTTATCACAACTGACTGGTCCCAGTTATTATAAGGTACTTGGTATTGGGTGAAGGGTCCTCGTAGCAAAGGACACACAGGGCCTACCTGTTTGTGTGTTTTAGAGGCTTCTATGATGGAAAGCAAGGAGGAAACACCTTGAGAAAGTTCTGGCTAGGTTTTCCCAGCCTCTGACACCCTCAAGAAGAAGAACCATGAATGAGAAAGGATCCAATAAATACTTAAGTTGTTGCTTCTACAAGCCCCACTGCCTCCTTTCAGGGACCCAAAGCTGCCTGGACACCACAGTCTAACTCCACTTCAGCCATACTCTGCCATACCCTGCCAACTGCAGGGACACCACTTCCTATCCCAAGTCCTGTCACGTAGTGAGTACTCTGTAATGGCCCTGACCAGCTTCCAAATTCAGTGCCAGGGGCCAGGCCAGGCCTCTGGAATGCTGTAACCTCTGGAGCTCCCTGTCCTGAGGGCACTTAAGAAAATACAAGGACTCCAGCCCAAATGCCATAGGCCTCTGGAAAGAGAGGCGTCATGGTGTGCTGCTTGAGCCACACCTCCAGTCCATTTTCCTCTGGTTATTTTGGAAATGGAATTTTGTGAACTATTTTCCCAGCTGACTTGAATCACAATCCTCCCAATCTCATTCTCCCAAGTAGCTAGAATTACAGGCATAAGCCACCAGCACTCAGCTCCAGTATGTTTCCTAAACACACCAGAGATTCAGGGAAGCAGATGATCCTTAGTCACTCTTGGGCAGTGTTCCCACGCCCAGTTCAGGTCAGCCATTGTGGAATGGGGACAAAGATGGAAGACAGCAGACCCTGTCCTCAGTGGAGACTCTTAAGTCGGCAAGTATCACAGCCTCAGAGACCAGAGCAGAAAAATAGGAGTTGATGACAGTCTGGTTTTATTTTTCTCATGTGTAGAAGGGGAACAGAATCCCAGGGTGGAAGGGAGAAGCCTAGGATCACACTGTGCAGAGGCAGAGCAACATCTAAAATAGGGTCTGCCCCTGCTACTTCCTTCTTTGCCCACCTCATTGTTGCATACAGGTCCAAGGTTGGCCTCTGTCCTCAGGGCAAGTCTGCAGCTCCCAGGACTCCTTCTCTGCCCTTGGTCAACCCTGTGGCACTGCCTGACCTGGCCATCAGAGGATGGTATCCTGGCTGGAGCCCAAACAAGTGTCCTCCCACTCTAGCCTGAATTGTGAGGTACCTTCTCACTGAGACTGGATACCAGCATCCCTGATGGGCAGGGAGTAAGGCCAATCCTGCCTTCTGGTGACTGAAAGGCTAGGGAGGTGGCTCCCTCCTGAGCTCCCATTAGGCCCCTCAGGGAAACTTTTGGTACCTGATAGCCAACCTTGTGTGTTAATCCTGGCACATCACTTCCTGCCTCCCTGATTTATCTGTCTCTTTGGGATGTCATATAAGAAGTTAGGCAACAGACCTGATGGTACCAGCTGAACAGCCTGCCCCTGCTGTGCAGTGGGTGGAGGTGGGTATGAAATTGACACCACTCAGCAGCCCATACTGACCTCTCCTTCCAGAAGCTAGGACCTATGTATAGCTCAACCACTGACCTGGGGAAAAACATTTGGGTCAGTGAGGGGATTGGGGATAAGGGCAAGGGGGGCTCTCATTGTCTGAGGTTCAGCAAAAATACTGATCCTTCCATTTGGGTCCAGTGGTCAGGTAAGATAGGGAGTAAGGGATGTCCCGGGGAAGGCTGCAGAGGCACCATTATAGTTTGGGGCTGCTCAGAAGGATGGGTTGGAGAGAGCAAAATGGTTTATTGTATATCATCACCATCGCAACTGGGGTTGAGTGTGGATTTGGTGTCCCCTCTAGCATGATACAGCACAGAGCTAGTAGGGGGTAGGGTGATCAGAGCACCAAAGACCCCATGGTCACTGGGCCAAGCCTGTCCTGTGGACACCAAGAAGCCGACACTGCAGGAAGCGGGTGAAAAAGAGGAAGAGCTCCATGTGGGCCAGGGGCTCCCCAAGGTATGCATGGCAGCCTGTGGGGCAGGGGTGGGGAGGGGTTCAGTCAGCCTGGGGCCTGGGCCAACCCTCCAAGGTGCCATGGGAAAGGGACAGGGAGCCAGCACCCCACAGGCACCTGCTGAGAACGGCATGAAGGCCTCGGGCTTCACGAAGTGACCCTGGGCGTCCAGGAAGTGTTCAGGGTGGAAGCGGAAGGGCTTCTCCCAGACGGTCTCATCCTTCAGCACGGATGACAGGTTAGGAATAGCATTGTCCCCTAGTGGGAGATACATGGTGTGAACATGAATTAGGATGGGGACACCAAGACCCCTGCCACTAAACACATATGGGCACACTCTACCTGGCACACATCTGGACCCTTTCATGTAAACCTCAGCCACAGAAGCATCTCAGTGCCTTAGATGCTATGGCAGAGTTCCACGTGACAAGTAGCATGGGCCCCACAATGCTGTGTGTGTGTGTGCATTGGCTACAACCCAAAGCATGTCATCTGCCTGCCTTCCTCCTAGGGGCTCTGGTGTACAGGGCTGGCCTTGCAACTGCTGCGCTTCCCACACATGCTCAGGCTGGGACAGTCGGTGTCCCAGGGATTGACCTGTATTCCAGTCCTCCCTAACTATGCAGTGGACATGCTGAGGCCAACAGCTGGCCGGTGACACTGAGCAAGCATAGGCCCCAGGCTTACCTTGGGGATGAAGAAGCCCTGTACTTAGCGTCACAGGAGGTCACACGGGGCACACCGACAGGGATGAAGTACCCGAAGCGCTGCACCTCATGAATCACAGCATTGGTGAATGGGCCTGGTCTTCCATCTCTGGCCACACCTGCCCTATCACTTCGTTTCCTGTGGACCTGGCCTGGAGGGCCGAGAGATCAGTCCCCAGGGGCTGCACCCTGATCCTCCTACCTGTGTTAAAGGCTGGGTATAGGTGGGGGAATGTCACTCTTGCTGGAGCCTGGGACAAGCCTGTGCTTGGAAATATAGGTGTTCCAGTGAAAATCAGGGGACTTTTCTTTCCCCCTCCTTTCTCTCCCAGGGCGCACGCTGCACATCCGGGTGCAGGGTCATGAGCAGCAGGGCCCAGGCCAGCATGGTCGAGGTGATCACCATCCCCGCGGAGAATAGGTCAGCCACCACCATGCGCAGGTTCTCATCATTGGAGCTGCTCTCTGGGTGCCCTTTATCCTGGGTTAGGGGACAGAGGGAGGAAGCCCCCAAATGACCTCCCATTCCCACCCATTCACCCAGGTGCTGGGCCACCCGGTGGAGCACAGGCCCCATCCTGCCTGGCCCCACAACCCACAGCATCCTCTTCCCACATCCCATATCCCATCTCTGGCAGTCACCCCTCACCTTCTCCACCTCGGCCAGGAAGGCGTCAGTCAGGTCTCGGGGTGGCTGAGCTGGATCTCAGGTCATCCTGTGCTTAGTCATCAGCTCATCCAGCAGGGCCATGAAGGCCTTCTGTGCAGAGAAGACCTTTCCAGGCAGTCCTGGGATGTGCAGGAGCATTGGGACTGCGTTCAGCACCTGTGACAGCCACAAAGGAGGCCTGAGTCCTGTGCTTAGTATCACCTGGATCAGACAGGTTCCAGCCTCCTCCAAGGTAGGCACAGGACCTGCCTGTCCCCACTGTCCCCTTCTCAGTGCCAGTCATCATGCTTTCTCATGGCTCTGGGCTGTCAGAAGGAATATCCTACATGGACATCTCACAGGCTTGTGTGGCTTCCAGAAGGATGGGTAGGCACAGGCTCTCTCCTTCTCTGGTGCCCTCTACCCTGGGCCACCCCGTCCCATTCCTGGTGTCCAAGACTTTCCCAGCTGCAGGCTGTTTCTCCTGCAGTGGGCTCTGATGGAATGACCTCTCCCCATCATCCTGCCTGCAAATCCTCCTCCTGGGAGGCCCAGCTTATGGAACTGGCTGTGCACATCCTCCCCTGAATCCTGCACCATGGGTATGATGCCAGAGTCCTTCAGAGCGTCCTTCAACAGATCCAGTAACCTGACCAAGCATGCATTGTAATCGAATCGGAGGGCACAGATGAGGGAGGTGATCATGTTGCACACATCTTTGTTCAGGAGGGCGTTGGGGCTGAGGGGGGGTCCTGGGAGTGATGGTAAGGGTCAGGGTGTCATTTCTGTCACTCTAACCCCACCTCAGACTGTCATGCACCAGCCTGGTCAGTGAAGGCGGCACAGAGGCAGTCTGCCTCCTCGATCACCCACTGCTCCAGCGACTTCTTGCCCAGGCTGAAGTTGCGCAGGGTGGACACAGAGAAGCGACACTGCTGGTGCCAGGCAGGGCCATAGAGCACCATGATGACCCCTGGGGATGGGTTGGCACTTTGCTTGAAACCTGGCCCATTCTCTGCCCTGCCCACTTGTCCCCTTCCATCCCTTTTCCACCTACCTCCGTCACCGCATTCGCTGGCTCCCATCCCTGCTGTTCAGCCCCCACTGCTGCCCCACTTCAGTCTCTGCCTCTGACTGCCTTTGCCTTGTGAATGAGGTCCGATTCCCAAGTGCTCATAGATGGGCAGTAGTGGTCTGTCGGCAGTGTCCTCACAATAGGTCACCAGCACTTCATGCACAACCACAAAACCCGTTTAACACAACTACTGGTTTCCAGGCCAGCTGTAGGCTGAACAAATCCCCAAAGTGGCTCCGAGCTGTAGGCACAGGATCAGTTCATTACTGGTCAATCCTGGATCCCTGCTGGGCTGCCAGCAAGACTTGGGGGAACCAGTAGCAAGCACTGCAGTACACGGATAAGAGCTAGTGTCCAGATCTGAATTCAGTCATGCAGCTACGGCCTTGCTTGTGTCATGAGGGGACATACCTTGCTGTGTCAAGCAAGTAAGCTATGGCCTTGCTTGCCAGTAGTGCTCGTTAGCACCCCAATGTACAGATGAGGAAACCTAGGTTCACAGAGGTGAGCAAAGAGGCCAAAGACCCCGAACACAAAAGATTTGAAATAGTCACTGTGCGTCTCTCCACCTTGTCTTTCTGACTGAAACGCTGCTCAGCTCTCTGGCCACTCTCCCTTATCCCTAATACCTTTCCCACTGATGGCACCAGAAGGATTGTGGGGTCTACATGATTCTGTACTGTCTAAGTGGATCTCAGACCTGCTTCCACATCCTGTCCCACCTCCTGGTCTTTGCCCTCCACACCTTTGGCCTTCGAAAGTCCATGATGCTCTCAGG